GATAGTAACTCCATAATCTTCCAAGTCCTCTGGGCTTGAACTTGGGTATGATGTATGATTTTCTCTTCTTCCAATGTCGAGCATTAGCTTCTATTGAAATTTCATAAGTTTCATGTATGCGCTGAGGGTTTTCTGTGTGCTGGTCACTCTGCTAAGAGCTTTATATACAGTATTTAATGTCCACAACCACCAGTGCGTGGATCCTGATATCCCCATTTTATAAATAAGAGAACTGAAGCTCAGGGTTCCTGTACTTTGCCCAAGATATCACAGTAAGAAGTGAAAGAGCTGTACCATGAGATAGTGATTTTAACCCAGGGGTCACAAACTCAGAGACCTCCCTGGCAATGTATGGATTGAGCCAGGTGTAAGGCAACAGGGAAAGGTGGGGCTTTTGGCCAGCTGGGGCGCACACCCACCTCAGGGCACTCACATTCTCAGTCTTTTATCCGGCTACTCCAGCCACAACAGTTCTGCCACCCCTGTCTTAACCACTGGTCTTAACTGCCTCCCCAAAAGCTCCTGTCCATCCCCACTGCCACTACCCCGGTCCTCATCACTCACTCCACAGCCTCCTCCACGGCCTTCCTGCCTCCAGTCTCACCCACGCCAGTCCCTCTGCTTTCCAGAGCCAGACACTGTCCCATCCCTGAGCACCCAATCCTACAGAGACCTACCCCCACCAAACACGCAGCACTCACAGGCACACCCTGGGGACCATCGTAGAGTGGGAGGAACAGGGACTTTGCAGCCAGACAGTTCTGGGTTCAAATCCCAGCTCTGCCGTTTGCTAGCTGGGTCACCTTGGATAAGTTACTTAACCTCCTGAACCTCAATTTTCTATCTCTAAGAGGGGGAGCATGATGACAGCTATCACTCAGAGTCCTTAGGCGCACTAAATGCATTCACACTTGTGAAGTGCTCAGCCCAGTGCCAGGCACCCAGTTGGTATTTACCCCACCATGGAAAACGCATGGTGGATACACAGGCTGGGAACGGGTTGGTACTCTCTCCCCTTTACATATCACCCCCAAACCTGGGAAGTCAGGGAGGAGGGGGGACTTGCCCAGCTAATAAATGGAACACTCAGGTTTCAAATCCAGGTCAGTTTCTCATCTGCAAAATGGAGACAGCGACTCCAGCCACACGTGGTCATTGCACAGACCTAGAGAAGACGCCTGTGGCAGGAGGAGGTGCTCTGAATCTGCCGAGCCTAGTTAGGGAGGCAGGAGGGCGAAAGGGGCCTGAATGAGCTGATCCCCACCCCACTCCAGAGCAGAACTGCAGGGCAGGGCCATCTGCAGCCCTTTACAGACCCTGCGCCTGATTCTTGGAGGCCCCACCCTCATCGTAACAAACATTCACATGCACCCACATCCCTCATTAAAGAAAACACTTCTTTGCTTTAAATGTAAAAGGATTTTTATAAATTTGCTTTTGAAATTACTTGATGATGAGTAACTCATTTAATTTACTATTGGCTATGATTTCTCTTCAATCACCCTGCATATTCTGGAACTCTTGCCAAAAATCCAACTCAAAAATTGTTTTCAATATAATGACGTTTGTAGGATACCAAACTTAACAAATATTAAAGTTGACATGACTTTCTGATGGTGTTTAGTTGAACATTTATCAATTTTGACATTGTCTTTTTCATATTTTGCAGCCCCCAAAGTTTTTCTTTCCAGTCTCCGACATTTCCCAGGCCTTTGGAGGTCGGCCCTGGCCCCTGGACAGCACGAGTTTGCTCAGGAAGCCAGGGCACTTGATCCTCCCCATCTCCAGACACGCAGGCCACCCCTGCAGGTCCAGCTGCAAGAACACCCAGCCCAGACTGTCCAGGGCATCCTAATTCGGGAAACTTTTCTCATTTTGATGAGTGATTTGCCAAACGTTGGATTAAATATGGTTTAATGCTTTATTAGAGTTTCATATAAATAAATTTACAAATGAGGCAACACTTCGATGGGGCGAACATTCCACTGTAGGGTGTGGAAATCAGGATCACTGTCCTCCTAACCAAGCCCCACCCCTCCC